TGCAACTGTCCCTGGACCTGGGGTCAGTTGCAACATCTGACTTTTCATTTTCAAATACAAACAGTGAAGAATGTACATGTTTTAATCATCTATAAATGGTTTTGACTATTAACAGACAGATGTAAGTTTATTGTATTAAAATTTGGTTTGTCTAATTCAAGCCATCTCTGAGTAACAGAGTCAAATGTAAAAAGTGTTGCAACTTTCCCCGGTCTCCCATACACTTGGAAGAGGAAGCAGGGCCTAGCAGCAGCTTAGGAAGACACTCATCAGTGGGACACCAATAAGATGGGATTCCCGTCAACAAATGGTGAAGCAGGAGCAACAAAGGGCCATCACAAAGGTCCTCTCYTAGGACAAGAAGACCAGGCCACTGGTTCAAACCTGGCATGGTTTTGACACTTTAGAGTCAACTGATGCAGCTCTCAGCCCACTCCTCGAATTCACTGATGCCTCGTCCGGTGAGTCCTACATCAGTGAGCCATTCATAAAACCAGTAGGCATCTCTTTAACACCTCTACTTTTAAGCAAACAGAGGATGACACAGAACTCACCCGGACAATAAAAACAGCAAAAAGAATGACAACCCAGCCATAACTGACCCAGCCTGACACAGCATAGCATGGCCCAAGATGTAAGCTTAGATACACACAGGAGAAGAAGAGAGACTACATCAAAGACTGGACCATTTTGGAAATGCTAAAAGGGGAAGAAGTTGCTGAGGTGAAGTCCAGTGAAGAAGCCATAGAAAAAGACTCTACAGCTGTGCCTCCAGTCAAGAAAGCAAAAAGGACTCTGGCAAGATATTTTTTCCCAAACAGGCCCACTACCAACACAGTCAGTGCACAGCAGGCAGCTGAGATGGAGGTCAGCAACTACCCTCTGGCTCCAGATGCTGACGATACAAATCATCTGGATTGATGGAAAGTCTATCAAAACAATTTCCCTAGAGTATGTCAGCTGGCAAAAAAATTACCTGCGCAAGCTCCCCGTCTGAGAGGATATTTAACGCAGGTGGCAACAGTAGCTGTGTTTCCACTGGAAAGTCACGCGTGAATATGTTTGTTCTCGTGATATCATTACAAACATGGCGGCGATGGATGTAAACACATAGCATGTTGCTGCCATTCAACCAACGAGCCCCTTATACTTGGGAGCGGCTACGTATGCTGTGTTTTTGGGAAATTGTAGTCGGCGAGTTTACTACTTTCTTTTACAACTTCGGTGATTTTACTATTACTTCTACTTCCTGTTTTCTTCTTCATCATCTTTTTCACCAGTAGAAACAGCTGGTTGTTGATCACATGACTCCTGTGATGTGAAAAAAGTGTTTCCATTGCAGTTTTGCGAAACACACCAATTTCGATACGGCCGAAAAACCACCTCATCCTAGTGCAAAAACATTTTGTCGAAAAAAGGAAGTTTTTTTTAATTGACGTGTTTCCATTGAGCAAATTTGTTTTCGAAATTCTAATTTGCACATTTTCATGGTCAATGGAAACTCAGTTATTGTCACATGTAAAAGAGCTGCATTGAAGGCAGGTAATGTAGACCATTTAGTATTTCTTGCTAAAAACCTGACCAAAAAATTGTCATAAGATGTCATCAACCCTCAAACAATGGCATTGAACCAATAACGTTTGTTGCTCTTTTTACTGTTTTCTTCAAGCACTACTGGATACAGTAGATGGATGGATGGATGGATGGATGGATGGATGGATGGATGGATGGATGGATGGATGGACTTTCCTTGGACTACATTCAACATGGCTTAATAGAGAAGGAAATTTAATAGAATTTAAATCTTACAGGTAACATTGTATGATGTTCAATAATGAGTCAGGTCTGCTTCCATATAGTTCACATTATAAATTACATTACAGATATCTTTTCTGGTAATGCTGTACAAACGTTTAATGTATTCCAGAGTAATCTGATGCCAATGTTTCCACAATTGATATTATGTTCAGTGGAACAATAGCTTCAGGGAATTTTCAAGTCAGATGCTTCATGGTTGTCATGAGTTGCTCAGTTTGTTTGTTTCTTTGAAATTTCTGTTTACACTGCACTTTGTTGCATTTGAAACTGATTATATATGGATCTTTCTGTAGCCAACCTAAAATATATAAATATACAGTTTAAATATATATAAATTGCAGTTAAACTATACCAATATAAGAAGCTGTTGCAACTTCACATTTAAATAGCTAAATCAGATTTGCTTTCCTGGAACATTTAGAACCTTAACTTGCTGTTTTTCTTCCAATTAGAATGTGTTGCCAAATTAGGTAAGATGGAAATTGTGAAGATTGAAGATGTAACTCAGCTAATTATATAATCACACAAGTTATCTTTTCTAAATTTGCAAAAGTTGCATCCAGTAAAAATCAGTTGATCTGAGTTGAATGTGTTTGTGTTGTTCAGCATTTGTTCTGTCAGAAATATCTACTTCTGAGGGAAGAAACTAAACAGCTCAAAACCATCAAGATGAAAATTTACTTTGAAGAACCTTTATAGTCAAGTAATAAAGATGGTTTTATATAATATATGTGAGTTATAAAAAGTTCTTTTTGTTGTTGTTTTAAAGACAGATGCAGAATTGCTGAGGGGATGATCAGCACATGATTTTGAGTCTGTAAATAAGGCAGAGAGCCAAAGTTACACAGAGGAGGATCTACAGTAAAACTCATCAAACACTCAATAATTAGCTCGGGTATCTCTCAGACCTGCTCAAATGCAAAAGGAACACATACCTTCTTCTGCAAACAGACTCATTCCCAGCAAAGAGAAATCAGCTTTTCTCTGCAGCTTCATTCCACTTTCTCTTAATTTGACTTCTTCTCAGACACAAACATGACAAATTTAAAATGCATTTCGCTACCTTTCACGTAGACATAGATGGAGGCCTGCTCCTTGGAGATCACGTCCTGACAAATAAAGCGACCCATAAGATGAGGCTGAGCCTTGGGGAAACGTAGCGTCCACATGCCATCGATCTGTTTTGCAGACAGCAGCTTGGTCCGATTCTCTCTCCTCCACTGTCCCAAGCTGTCACTCTGGCAGCGCAGGTCAAAGGGCTGGTTGAGCGGGACAACCAGGTAGGGACTGTCTGGGATGATACGAGGCTTTGTGTTTCCGACACAGGCTGAAACATAAAAAGGATTTGATTTGTCAATAAATCAAATGACAGGTTGTTCCTCATTTAAAACCAAAACATGTGTATTTATGTATGTGTATGTGTATTTATACAAATTTATATATGTATATGGGTATGGTTTTCAGCAAGGCTATAGTCATTATAATTATATAG